GTTGACATAAAACACACACCTGAAATCTCCATTATTTATTTCCCCTCAAAAGTAAAGGCAAGTAGAACAGAAGGATATAACAACCTCCCATCCATCAAGGGAAAAGATGTAGAAAATGCCAAGTTCCCATCTGACAGGACATTGGTGGTGTTGTGCTGCCAACATATGTGGGTAAATAATTACCCCAGATGAATGCAGAAGCAACCATTACATAACATAGGACCAGCCACTGCATTTCCACCACCTGTCCCCCAGACTTGTGAAGCTAAAAACAACCACAATAGCTACACTGAATTCCTCCAGCATAGAAATGTCCTAATAAAGAAATCATTTTTATAAACTTCTACAAACTTTTTCATGATGCAGTCCTTTTCTGTTTGATTTATACAATTCATACAATCATGAATGTGTTTCAGTTCTCAACTATTTTTTCCGACTCCATGGTTTTTACCTTATGAAGAATAGCGGTAAGCTTTATTGAAATCAACAGGTTATATTTCTTCTAAATATAGAGACTGAGGTTCAAAGGGCACATTTTAATATTCCGCCAGGGATGAGCTAAAACTAAATTTCAGAGATTGTGTTATGTTTCTTTTGACTTATTCATGCTCTAAGACATGAAAGCACAACACAAACTATAGTAAGACGTCTAAAACCTGTGGAGACAGAAAACCTGTGGCTCTCTTGATTTTGCTAAAACAGAACTCCCAGCAGCAACAGCCAATAAGGCTAATTGTGAGGAATGCTAGGAACTACACTTCAGCAACATCTGGAGAGCCTCAAGTTACTCCTCCAATGAAAGGCTGGCTTTCATAGGACTGTACAGTTCCTGAGCTGTTGCTCTCTACAGCCATATTGCAATCACGGAAATTATGTAACCACTGACTTTGCCTGGCTGAGTTAAAGGAACCTTCCCAAAATGTCTAGACAGATTTCCCATTTTGATATATAGTTTGATTAGACTCTGGCCAATCTTAGGGGCAATAGGGGAAATTTGTAGATATAAGGTTAGCCTACATAAGCTTCATCTTACATGAGTTAGCCTCCTCAAGCATAGATAAACAAACTTGGAGAGTATATTTCTTAAGCTATGTTCCACATTTAGGGGTAAATAAATATGGAGTTCCTTGGAGCATTTAAAAAAAATATTTTGTCCAATGCATCTTAATACAAAATAGTTACAAAAGGGAAGATTGTTGAGAAGGTTGTCACACGGCAGCCATCAAGAGGTCTGCAGGCAGCAGATTATTTAGACCTGTTTCAGACAGATTTCAGGCTGAAATTTAGAATAGACAGACTCTGTTGTACTTGCTGAAGATCTGTGGCAGAGCCAGGATGGGGGTGGTACATCCATCCTTATGGTCCTTGATCTCTCCAGCAATTTTTGAAACCATAAACATGGTGTCCTTCTGGCTAAGCTCCAGGAGTTTGAAATTGCTTTACTGCAGTTCTCTTCCTTCATTCACAGTCAGCTGGTTGATTAAAGGGATAGGGGGATATTGCTACCTAGACTCCTGGGGTATCACAGGACTTGACCCTCCCCCCCCTCATTCACCATCTACATGATAGCAAACCCCAAACCTCCCCCCCCATGATATCAGCAGTATGCTAAAGATGCCCAATTTTAATTTTTGACCCCAGGCCTGCCAAATAAAGATGACAAGGTTTCGTTCCATTGCTTGGATGTGGAGAAACTGTGGCCAGCTCAATCAAGATCAAAGTAGCTATCTAGATCCAGGGAGATTCCATTTTAAATCTGGATAGGGTAGCATTTGTCTATTCAAGAGTGGTGCACAGTCTGGAGGTCTTCTTGGACTTACAGTTCCTGCCTGAAGAGCAGGTTGGCAACTGTGGGCAAAAAGGTCTTTGCACACTTCCAGTTGTACTCTTTCCTGAATCAGTAGGCCCTTCAGACAGTCACTTTATGCATTAATCTTTTCATACTCAATTACTTCAATGGGGCTGCTCTTGAAGAGCTTTAGCTGGTCCAGAAGGCAGAGGTATAGACAATGATGGGCATGCCTCAATATGTCCAAGTGTCATGTGTTCTATGAACTGCATTGATTTCCAATTTGCTTCTAGTTGTGATCTATAAAGCCCCACATGACCTAGGACCCAGTTATTTGAGGGACCATGTATCTGCTGCCTTATCTGTTTGGCCAATATGAACCAACAGGTTTGGCACATTTCAAATCCTTTCAGTTAAATTATGTTATCTTTCAGGAACCTGGAAACATGCCTTCTTGTCATGATGCCTGCCTTCTGGAAAGAGAGTCCTTCAGAAATCTGGATGATTTTCTCCTTGATGGTGTCCTAGGTGCCTTAAAAACCTGACTGCTCTCCCAGGCCAGGGGTAGGCAACCTTGGCTCTTTTATGACTCGTGGACTTCAACTCCCAGAATTCCTGAGCCAGCTAAGGTTGCCTACCCCTGTCCCAGGCTGAGGGTAGGGTAGGGTAGCTGGAGCTTTCTCTGGAATGTGGCTCTATATATTTTCTGTACTATTGGACAGATTTGCAATCTTGTCCAAATTTGGAGAGGCTACTGCCCATACTTTTATATTTTATTTTAAAAATAGCAGAGAAAAATATTCCAGGCTAGAAAAGAATTTTCTGAAAATAAAGCTTTATTCCCCTTCAGAATTTTAATAAATACCAGACCAATTCCAAGAGGCTTATTTCTAAAAAATTTATTGCCTAGTATACCTCAGCAGGTGGCAGCACCCGGTTAAACTTGTCTAGGCATGGAAGCTAAGCAAATTTGGGCCTGGTTATTGCTAGGATAAGAGAGACTTCCAAATCTGTTGACTAGATTTAGAACTTTGAAAAAGTTTCAGAAGAAAGCAGTAATAAATCAGTTCACTAGGAAACCACAGAGCTGTTCATTAAATCATCAGGAGTCAAAAGAGGCTTTAGTTTACTTGTTTTTATCACCTTCTATCCAAAAGTCTTCACTATCTATAACTGAGCAGAATGAATGTTTGGCATTATTAGGGCATTCTGCATTATGCAAAAGGCAAAACGCAAAAATAAAATTGTCACTCACCCAAACTATCACCTTCCAATGACATCTGGTCTTGCACATATGCAAGATGTCATATTGGTTAGACCCAGTCAAGCATTGTGCATAGGTTTCTGATCAAACTGACTTTCATAACTGTTGTCTTTGGAAGTCTCATCTGATGTAGACGGTCAACAAGCTACATACATTAATTCAGTGATTTTTTTACATACATCCAAGTTGAAAGTAACCAAGATCTACAATTTGTGCAATATTGCAAAATGCCAGAATTCTGCATTATGTGTTCTACTTTTCATAACTATCCTTATGGCTGATTCATGCATGCATGTTTATAACTCATAATTCATTATTCAATGACTCTTGGCTCAATGTGCTTGTTTTGGAGGAAAACCAGATCATGATAGGATGAGTTTAAAAAGCTGGCTCTCTGCCATATATTATATGACCATCTTGTATCTTCCTGGCAACTAAATAAGGAACATTCAATTGTGGAACTTAACCCCTAATTGTCCAAAGCAACGAGCAACAACTCCTTACTCTCAAACATATCCCTGCTTTACTTGCATGTTGACTCTATTAAGAAAAAGTGATTCACTTCAGTTTCTGCAACTGTTTTCCAAAGGCAAGCCTTTCGAGATTGACAATATTAAAATGAAACCAAAGAAAACTAAAGCTAAAAAGCTACTTGCAGTTTTTTTCCTCACCCCAGCTCTCAAAGGGTTAATTACAAAAAAATGAAGAATTTGTTCAGTAAACTAGAGTGCATTAGATATTCAAAGCAAGGGTCTCATTCTGGAGATCCAAAATCAGATTATCAGAAGATACTCAGATGTTTGTGGTTGGTTAGTGCCCAATTCTTTAAAATTAGCTGGTGTAGCCCAGCAGCTGAATAGCCAGATATTTACTGTAAGAACGTCCTGATCTACCTACCACACAGTTCATATTACTTGGAAGATGCAAAATATTTGAAATATATTTTGGATTACAGCTAGCAGAAGTCCAGCAGCCCCAACATATGTCAGGCTGAAGGCAGTTATAGTAGACAGCCATAGGCTGTCCCTTTACCTATAGTGTCACACTCCAGGGCACTTTTAAAAATAATAAATCAGGCAGCTCAGTAGCCCAGGATTTTTGCATTTCAGAATCTATGCAACCCATTACATATTTGTAATTACTTTGAGGATCTGCCCTCCGAGTAGATCTGGAGGCATGGATTATTTCTAACTTCTCCATTTTATATCACTGAATTGTATTCACATGGACTTGAAATTTCACTAATAAAATTTCAGTAATATAAATTCAGTGACTGGCATTGGCAGGAGATCTGCCTCCTCCTTGCACCTGCACAATTTTCTACCATAAAGGAGTCTTGTCTTGAGGGACTACAACTGAGAACCCTGTTTTTTTTCAACACAGCTGTGCTTTTCCCCTTCTTGACTCTTTCCACTTGCAGAAAAAGAGCAGAGGCATCACAATCACTCCAATGCAACAGAAGGTCACCAAAGCTAGCCACACTTCTGTGGAAATAAAGTGAATGCAACCCTTTAAGGCAGCCATCACCCTCCCCCCCCCTCCAACTGAGCTAAATGACTCTTACCAACGGCCAGCCACCACGACTCTTGATTACTGAGCCAAGAGTGATGGTACTTGGAGTCCAAAGCATTTGGAAGAGACGGGAGTGAGGGAAACTGATTTAAGGAACGGACTGCTTCTTAGAACCCAATGGGAAGAAGCAGTCTATCCCAGCATTGAGTCCGGGCGTCTTTCCTAACCCAAAGATTCTCTCCCCTAAGGTGGAGTTCTGGGATGCTTTCGAAGTATTGGGTTGGGGGGTCGGGGGCTGGCGACCTTCACTGCCTCGTCAGCCCCACTTTCTCCCACGCTCCGCCAGAACGAGAGCCCTACTTCTGCAGCACACGCACAGAGACCCACACATCCTGAGTCACCCGCCAAGTCATTCCGAGACGCGAGTCGATTTACCGCTGCTATCCTTGAAAGAAGGGGTCGGGGTGTTCCGCAGGCTCTGGCTCCAGCCCCTCTCGCCTTCCTCCTCCTCCTCCTCCTCCTCCCGCCGCTGTTGCTCCGCGGGACCCAGGAAAGTCGCCTCCAAGCCACCTTGCACTTGCTGCTGCTGCTGCTCTTCCTCCTGCTCTTTCGCTGCCGACGCCTTGGAGCCTTGGCGTCCTCCAGTCCTGCCCCGATGGCTGCGTCCACCCTCGGGGGTTTCGCCCTCTTCCTCTTCCTCCTCCTCGTCGTCTTCCTCCTCGGAGGCAGAGCGCGACTCCGCGGTGGTGCTGTAAAACGGGTTGCCGCTGCTGTCCTGGCCCGATTCCCCGAAGACGTCGTCGGAAATCTGCAGGCTTTCATAGCGGCAGCGGGCTGCCTCTAGCAGGGACAGCGCCTTGAGCCGCTGCCCGCCGCCGCCCTCCGCCATCATCTCCACCGGCGGCGTCAACAGCCGCCCTCGCTCGGACGGATCCTTCGGCCGCAGGCAGCAACCCAGCAGCAGGAGCGGCTCGGTCACCGAAGCAGGCAAGCAGGCTGGGGAGACATCGGCTCCGCCACCGCTTTCTCCTCCTCCACCGCCTCCGCCGCCTCGGAGCCCAGCCTCCCGCTCTCCCCGGCACCACCCGCCCCTGTGTGTGTGCAGAGCCATGGGTGGAAGCAGCCAGCTTAACATCTCTTCCAGTGCCTCCTCATCTAGCCAATTGCAGCTGCAGTCCTCAAACGAGAGGTGGGGTTTTTATGAGCGCTCCCGAGGCCCCGAGACCGCCCACTCCCCGCCTCCAAGGGGGAGGATCTCCGCCGTTTAAAATCACAGAGTTGGTTTTTGAGACCGACGAGGTGCTGCGCGAGGTCTACCGGTCCGACGCGGGAAGTTTTGCAAATGGCTCATTAACTCCGAGGCGGGCGCTAAGGGGCTCGGCGCCTTTCTCGCGCCCCCCACGGCTTCCCGGATCTCCGTGGGATCTACCTTGGGAAGAGAGAGCTTAGCACAGTGTTTCTCAACCTTGACAATTTTAAGGCATGTGGACTTCAACTCCCAGAATTCCACAGCCAGCATGGCTGGCTGTGGAATTCTGGGAGTTGAAGTCCACATGCCTTAAAATTGTCAAGGTTGAGAAACACTGGCTTAGCAGGTTTCCTGTCTCTTTTTTTTTTTTTTTTAATGCTACAGGAAGGAGCTGTCCGCCGATCTGGTGCTGAAGACCACAATGCTTGGAGTCCCACCGCAAGACCCTTTAGAATAGGTTATGAATTAAGGCAGTAATTACCGTAATTATTATAAGAAGAGGTTGAGATCGCCACTGGTTAGTCAAGATTTGGCCCATGTTCAAGTAGGAAGGCGACAAGCAGCAGGACCCAGCAGGAGGCATGCCTGGAGCCAGAAAGGAATTAGAAAAATTGCATGCCTTTCTGCATAAATAGCAGCGTAAGACACGCGCCTGGCAATAATAACCATCCTGTCACCTCCACTTCCTAGGAAAAATGCATCTATAGGCAGATATGCTGCACTCAGCTATGATTTAGGGTCTTCAAGTTTCTTTCATGTTGGTGTAAATAGGAGTGTCGCTAATTTGCCATCATGACAAAGAGAGTGCAGAGCATATTTTAAAGCAATAACAACGAAAAGATTGCAAAGAGGGAAGCTGAGATCTGGAAGTGACTACAGAAGCTGAGACCTTGCCACCATTAGGGAAAATATATTGATCATACCTAGCAATATATTGATCATACACAATGCTTTTTTTGTAAAAAAAATTAAAAAAAAGTGCCGGAACTCACACACGTCATACAACCCGCCTTGCCTACCCTACAAGGTTCCATCCAAAAAAGGTGCCGGAACTCCATTCTGG